TACATGAGAGGTTAAGCTCCCCCTGGCGGTTTTACAAGGCGACGCCGGATAGTTAGTCAAGTGACACACGTGAACTGCGTGATACCCCGGTGGGCGTGTCGCGGTATGCCGCGAAATACCTCACCCATTTTGAATGGCTGCATCTGTATCATGCTTCCCTGGCTTCACAGAACATGAATTTTGCCAGAGATTACATGACAGCTGCTGTGAAGAAAAATGGCACCAAAGCCCATAGGTGTAAATGGTGTTTCAACAGCTGACCTGAAGAATTACCAACACATCATCAAAGAGCAGTATTCTGTCATGGCTGAATCGTCCAGCTGAATGGGATATTGGCATGTTCTTGCTGTCTTCTCTTAGCCTGCGTTCAGGGGTACACAAAATATCCTGACAAAAGAAGACAGACAGAAGACAGAGAAATATCAATTTTGAAAACATTAAAAAAAGTTTTGGCCTGATGAACTTGTGTATCTTTCTTAAATTATCACATATATCACAGCTAAATATTACAATATAGAATCATTTGACTATGTAAGTCCTTTCCCTGACAGCTTTAGAGTTTTTCATTTCGTTTTTTTTTATCTTTTGACTTTTTTAAATTGCAATTAACTTATTTTAGTAAAATCTTCTTGAAAGTATAATTGTATTAAACTATGCAAATTATGAAGATAGGTCAGAAACCTGTCCCATTAACTCTTTCGGAAAAATGTTTTAATTTACCTCATTTACCTAGTTTACCTAAAGACTGTCTAAAGCAGAATTTGTTCTCAGCATTCAGAATGTAATGGTTACATTACAAGTTGCAAGTCTAGCAATCATATAAATATTCTAACATTTTAAATTGATTTTAGTTCTATATAGAAAAGGTGGGACACACTGGAGTAAAAAGTTCAAAAAACAATTTAGAATAAAAAAATATTCACTCTATTCACAATGTTTTAGTGTTTCATAGTGTTTCTAAATATTTTAGAGTTAATGTTTCAGTCTGGATACTGTACCAAAGGCTGGGAATACTTGTGAGATCCTATGGTACAAACATAAAAAAGGGTGGTAATCAAGGTTTGCTGTTTTAAATTCAAAATCAGGCTCTCTTTGTTTAGCCTGCAAGACTTTCGACATGTTGATTGGCTAAGTAATGTCGCACTTCTGCTGCAGTAAAATTGCTTGCATTCACCACCACAAAAAGTTTGTACTTCAATGGTGGATAAAATTAGTTTCCTCATACCTGTTAATTGCGTTGGTATCCCTTGAGATGAAAATCCAATTTGACACAGGACAAAGCAGTGAAAGTACAGACATTTAATAGTAGTGGAGACAAGGTATATCAATCACATCTAAATAGACATGCAATTGAGCTGTTTTAGCACTAAATTAAAAGAAAATGTTTACTACTTTCGCATTTGAAACTATTCACTGATTATCTTCTCATTTAATTTGCTTCTGAAAAAAACGTTAAAAGAATGAATTAGGAATTGTATTCTGTTGCTCACATTTTAAATGTCAAACACAAGCTGATTGTTATGTCATGAACTGTTTCAAAATACATCAACATAAACATTTTCTTTAAAGTAATCATATAATAATCAATTTTAGTTAAATACATCCAGCCATTCACTAATGTCTTTCTCTAATCTCCAATAGGATTGCAGAGGTGGAGCCTATCCCAGCAGTCATTGGGTGGACCGCAGGATACACCCTGGATGGACTGCAAGTCCATGGCAGGGCACACACAGACACACACACTCACTACTTAGGGATAATTTTCCAGGTAACCAATTAACCTACAAGCATGTCTTTGAACTGTGGGACGAAACCCAGACAAACATAGGGAGAAAATACAAATAAAAATTGCACCCCAGAAACTAAATCTAGCCACTCTGCTTCCCACCATTTTAAGTTAAGTAAATTATATAAATAATAATCATTGAAAGTGCAAGAATGCAGTATCCTAGCTACAGACCAGAGCATTATTTGGTGTAGCAGACTTTTCATTATGTCGAGCAACAGTTATACCTTATTTCAAATAATCCTTTTTTTGGCCAAGATAAGTAAAGTAACCAGTACATACAAGAAGCAGAATACATTTTCTTGAATCCGTTGTAGCTGCAAAACTGATTTGATTCTAATTTGAAATACCCTTTTCATTACTACAAAGAAAAAAAAAGTCATGTTATTGGGTTGGTGTGATACATAGTGAAATATAATAAGCACATCATAACGGACGTTATAGTTTATGCAGGGAAAGGATCAGTTATGAATATAGGTTCATGTTGTGTGCTAATCTACAGAAACTGACAATGTCAAAAAATGTCACAATTGCCTTATATTTATCTGTTATGATGACTGATTATCAGTGCAGCCCAAAATGTTATTAATCCTTTAGTCACTTTAAATTTAAATTTAAAAAGTGAAACAAAATTGCTTTTACATGCAGATATTTATTATACGTAAAAGCTCTTACTGATAATTTCTGCCCCAGAGATTTCCACAGGACCTTTGTAAGGGAAGCATCATCCAGAAGTTGACTGATGTGACTTTGTAGGTCGATATACCCCTTAAGAGCTTCATTCACTTCCTGAACACCTGTAGGCTAAAATCACACTGACTGTTATACTGTAGCTGAGGAACAAGAAAAACATTTAAAGAACTCACACAAAAAGTCTCTTATCACATGAAATATTGAAAAGCCACTCAGTGGAAAGTTCCAAGTGGTTAATTTCTCCTCTTTTAAAATGTCTAAAATATTGTCACCTATACTTAAAAATAATTCAAAACCTCATATTTTAATTCACCGTTATCTGCAATATACATTCCATATGTGGTTTATGGATATTGTTAGCTCTTTTGACAAATTTTTTCTTCAGTTATACAGCAAATTGAAACTAGCACTATTATGCTTAATTGTTCATTATTAACATATAATTACATTTCTAAATGTAATGTAGAAATCCAAGTAATGCTTCATTATATAATATAATCAGTAAGTATTAATTTTGGTATTAGATTTAGTTAATGTGCCATTATTTTACATATTTATATTAATCTTTTTCTTATAAATTAGTTATCATTTGTAATTCTTTATTTCAGATTGGGACTGAAGTAAAATTGTTTAAAATCAGACAAGTTGGTTAAAAATAGTTTTTGTTTTGAAAAGCATAACATGCTGCTATTATACTGTTACATACTGTACATCTCCTTGCAAAAATATTCAAACCCTATCTTGGTTATCACATTTTATTGCTTTAAAGCTCATAGTTATGAGACTTATGAGAAGTAGTAATTCATATTTGACTATATTCAAAGCAAAAAATGTGCAATTAATAGATAATGAAAGAAAATGAAAAAATCATGCTTGCATAATTAAACTTTTTCCTGTTGCAAACTTAAATTAATTTACTGTGGGTGCACAATATTACCTTGTGGAGAGGCACAATTAGTTGGGTGGCTTCTGTCTGTACGTAATAATTAAGGATCTCGTGAATACAGAATCAAAATGTACAGTATGTCTCTACAAAGTCCCTTATTCAGGCAGTGCATTTCCAGCAATGATTCGTCCATAAAGATAAATTTGCTATTAAAATAATTCAGAGATAAAGTTGCAGAAAGGCACAGATCTACAGTAAAGTACAGTAGGGCAGAAAAAATTGTATGGCAGAGTGGCAAAAGGGAAGCCATTACTAAAAACACTTACATGGAGTTTATAGTAAAACAATTAGTTAATACTACAAATATGCAGCAAAATTTGTTTTGTGGTCTGACAATACAAAATTGGAACTATTTAATCTAAATGCAAAGTCTTATGTCAAGTGCAAACAACACGGTGCATGGCCCAGTAACCCTTACCCCTACTGTCAAGCATGTTGTGGGTGTCATCAACATGGACTGAGAAGATTTTCTAGACTGACAGGAAAATAGGTGGACATAAAGACAAATCCAGTCTTTTAAAGACCTTAAACTGAAGCACAAAATAACCATCCAGCAGGAGAATGACTACAAGAGAATACAGAAGAATGCAGTACAAGGCCAAAGCTATACTGGAGTGGTTTAAGAATAATAAAGTGAATGTCCCTGAGGGAACCAGTCAAAATCCTAACTGGTAAAACCTTTTGAGAATCTGTGGAAAGACTTAAAAAATGCTGTCCATAAGGAATCATCAAGCAACTGGAAAGAGTGTGGGCAAATATGCTAAGAATAACTGGTGGAAATTGCACCAAACTGACAGGTGAAGTTGATAAAGACATAGTCTTATGGAATCATCATATTTCATTTTTTTTCTTTAGTTTTAGCTGACATTTACTATAACTTATCTTACTCTTAGAAGACTTCAATTTGTGCATTCAGGTTTTGAATATAATATTAAGTTTAAAAACTGTGTATGTATCCTGTCACAATACGGGACACTATTGGAAGGGTTTGAATATTTTTGCAAGGTACTTTATAGAAGAGAAATGTGAATGCCATTCAGGTCCTGCTAAAAATGTGCTCTTTTAATCAAAGAATTCATTGATTAAACTTCCTTCCCTTTAATTTAGAGTAGATCATTTCTTTTAAGAAATGACTGCACTGTTTTAATCTGTTAAGTGTTAAGTATCTGTTAAGTACGTTTGTAACCTTAATTATCATGAAAGTTACCTAATGTACTGTATATAGTGTAAACAGGTTCATTCAGTTCATGTGTACCTTTTCAGTTGACTGGCAGAGACGTTTAAGGATAAGGATGTACTGCGTGACCTGGTCTCTGATGCGCTCATGAAGGACTCTGTAGAGGCTTACCGAGACTGAGCTTTCAGGTTTTTCGGAACTGAAGAAAAACCTGCTGAGGTTTATCTTATTCTTTTTCCAGTAATTGCTGCAGATTAAAGATTCAAATTCTCAGTGCAAATAATAATGAACAGAATCAAGACAAAAATGTACCTGGAAAAAATCATAAAACAATAGAAATCAAAGGGACATATCCTGTTTAGTCCAGGTACAAATAATAAGAATCTCAAATAATGGTATCTGTGATCTGAAAAGACACTAATGCTTCAATGTCCCTTTGAATTTTATCAGACACTAATATACATTTTCCATTGCTTCATTAGTTAAAGTAAGTAACAAGCATAAAAAGAAATTGCAATTAGGACAACAAATACAGCTGAATTATTTTACTTTCTTATGTTTGATGGTCAGTCATGCCAGGCTGTAAGATAATTATAACTGTAAACAACACAATCAGAAGCAAAATGGCTTTTGTACAGAAGAAATGTACAGAAAAAAGCAATGTAAGATAGGCAAAAAACAGTAATTGCACTTTGTAAAAAATGTTCCTGTGTAACAATGTAAGATTTAATTTAAACACCTTAGTCAAAGCCTATCACAATACCGAGGTTTGATAATCATTAATTACCAGAAAGACTGAAATCAACAGAATTCTGTATTAATTCTACTTTCAGACTATTAACAATGCTGTTAAATATTGAATCAATGCATTCCATACCTTGTCTTTTTTGCAAGATAATCAAAACCTCCCACTACATCAAGGTTTGTGAATGCTGAGAAGTATCTGCAAAGCAGAAACAGATATTCAATTAGACATAATACATTTTAGGGCTGAAGTTTAAGCACTCCACCATCTGCTCCTCTTTTTGTCAGTTCTAGTTTAATGCAGGCTCGCCTTACAACATAAGGCCGATCTATATACTGTTCAGTATACTGTATATATAATTGATCTGCATCACATCATGAATAGTTCATCCTCAAACAAATAATATCACTGATTCTGGCAATTAGTTTACTAACTGCAATGAGGAGCTTATCTGTGGTCTTTTCAAATCTACTGTATATGAAACCTTAATTGTAATTTAATCTTTGATTCTAATTGTAAGCGTAACTATAGACAAATTATATACTGATCGCTTACACAGAGGTACATGACTAGAAAGCATCTGATAACCCATTCTGCAAAAGATTGCCAATTCAAATAATCTTGTCAGAAACATGTATACATATTTGATTAAACGGTGATGGTGATGTGATGAAAAGAATGAAGCAATTGCACTAATAAAGCATACAAAATAAACTGTAGTGTTTTCTTTGATGTTGTTGACTGATAGAGGTGAAATTTCATCAAGAATACTGACACCAAGAATCAGATGTTTTGGCATAAAATGCTGAGTTAAGAGGTAGCCTCCTGGCCAGAAAACAAGAAGGTTCCCCCATTCAGAGAGAGGAGTATGAAAAAAATGCAAGAATGATATACTGTATATACAGCAAAATTAGATATTGTCTGTGATTTAAAACAGATGGGTGAGATTGGCTTGTCTGTCGTTAAATTTACCGAACTTCAGTTAAGAACTTTCATTTGTTGAAAGTTGTTTCTGTTAAAGAGGAATCGTGTTATCTATTTTCTACACTTTTTTATAACTAATTTACAAAGATATGGATTATATGCAGTACACAGACATTTCAGGGATTGTTACCAATCTGAACATGTTTGTTTAAATTCACACTGATTTTCAACTCAGCTAACAGTTTCTAGGGCTAACAGTGCAACATCAGCTTACTGTATGTAAAGCTCCTGGACTCCTGCTGTATTGCTGACGATGTACAGGTCCTTGATGGTGATGGGATTGCTTTGGTGTAGCAGCTGCTTCAGATGATTACACCTCTCTCCAGTCTGGTCCCAGAGTGCATGGAATTTCTCATTGAGCTGGAGGACCTGTTTCATATGCATATCCCATTTCTGGTCAACTGAATCTGAAACAAAATAACACCAGTTCTGAGGAGCGCTAAATTCCAATATTCCTATTGAAAGACAAAGTGGTTTAAATCATTACATCATTACATTATTATAGCATTATGGCAGGACCTATAGCAGCTGGAACCTGTTTAAGTGCAATTATATGTTTGGTTGCAAATAATATGAATACATAGAAAGTCCTTAGTGATATTGTAATCTTTCTTGCTGAATAACATAATATGATATTATCTGTATGTTCCTATTGTCAATATAGTACCACAAGTTTATTTTTTCCATTGTCTTTGTAAACTAACCATAATAATAATGAACTTAAAATGGCTTAAAAATTAAGATGACTGATAAAAGGAAATACTGTATGTACTGTAGTACAAGAAAGCCTCTCTTTGGACTTGGCTCAAAAGGAAGTTTGTTTAAAAGCACAGGAAAAGTTAATGTGGAAAACAGCACAATTAGCTCATCATTTTCCTATAAATTAAGAGATACTGTCATGGTGTCAATACTAGATTTGGAAATTACCAACATTCTTGTTTCCATGTACCCATTAAATGTTGATAAATCTTTGTAAAAAAGTCTTGTCTAGTACTGTTGTCTAGTATTGACTTTTAAACTGGTTTTCTTTTACATTATGCACCTGTGTTCTGTTCAGTGAAATTAACTTGAAATAACTATTGGGATTGGCCACACAAATTCCATTAAATCTTTGAAGATGGGCATAAATTAGGTAACCTTTAAATAATGAAAGGAAAATAGCATTTTTCACTATTAATATTTTATTCAGATGTTCACCATGGAAGAAAACAGCATGCTTCAGGGTGAGGAAGGACAAAGATCTAAATTAAATTCTATTATCATAGAAAAACAGAAATGTTAGAGATATGAGAAGCATTTGCAATGACTGATACCATCAGGAACTGGGCAAAATGCTATTATGCTCTACTCCTAAATGACACATGAATTGTACTTAAGCAAGTGTTGATATTAATAAAATACCCACAGTCACTCAAGACAGTGGTTACCTATCCATAAAAAGGGTGACAAAATGTGATTATAGACCAATTACTATTATGACATGCAAACTTTGGCAACATATAATTATAAATAGTGGATGATATGTATGGAAATAGGATACTGGAAGATAGTAAGTATAGATTTATAAGGTAGAGTTTGCTTAACTAATAGCTTAGATTGCTTTAAAGAAGCAACGATAATGCACAATAACAAAACATTTGATATCGTACAGTTCCTTTTTTCTGACTACCCATATTGCAGGCAGTACACATTCAAGAAAGTGAATGTAAACTAAATATAAACAACAATTATCACCATGTATCATTTATGATTTTAGAAAAATAAAATATATAAATTAGAGATACTGATGAAATGTTTTGACATCATTTAGTTTAATTGTTCAATCATGATTGACTGTGATACACTTGAGTGACGCATAACAGCTAAATCACCTCATTAGTGAAAGTGTTTAATGGGCACTGCTAATTAGATCATTTAACACATCAAGCCTGGTGAAAGTCAAAAAAGGAAAACCCAGAAAGGAACCAACATGAATCTCTTATCAAGAGAGCAATGTCTTGGAGGCTAGACTAATTCAACACACTGTCACTTGCCATCTGGGATGTTTTACAGGCCACAACCACAGGTGTCATCTATAGTATATATCATCATGTTGCTTTATTATGACTATTTTCTTATTGTATTAGAAACAATATGTCACAACAAGTGATTGATGGCATTCTGATAGCACTATATTGATTGAATCCTGGGAAAATACTGGCTGTCCTTCATGCGGGCTCATGACTCAACTTTGTTATAGTTCTAATGATACATTTCTTTTGATGTGCTGTATACTTTAATTAATGATTTGTTAATGGTCAGAAAACATTCAAAAATAAATTATGAAAGCTGAGGCACCTGGAGTGATATAATGAGTGTGGTACTACAGTGATCATATTCAAATCACTTCTCTTCTTAATTTAGATCAACAATCTAAGCTATGTGCAGACAAATGCAGAGTATTGCATGCAGGTAGCATGCAGATACTATATGAGGTAACCTGGCCTACAGTAAGTAAAATCAATTTCAAATTCCTCAAATGCTATTCAAAAAGTCCATCCACAAAGTCCAGACTCTAATGATCTTATTAGGAATCAGGATTGAAACATAAACATGACTCTAGTGGAAACTGGTTGAAAGAACATTTAGAGCTGAGAACAGGAGGTACTTTTTACACTAAGGGTTGTGGGGTTCTGGATAGATGGGAATCTCAGATTGATTAGTTACTAGCAATCAACTGGGCTACATGTTCTGAAAATTGTGTTCTGAGATATATTTCATGAATACTGGAAAGATTAAGTTCCTTTGTCGTCATAACTCATCTGTTTAAGCAATGCTACTGTAGCTCCTTAAACTAGAGAAATTTGGTAATCTTACCATTACATCTTAGGATCATTACCATGGCCAAAAATGTTGTAGAATCACTCAACTATTTTCATTGAAATCTCTAATTAAAATCTCAAATTATGGAGATAGAATATATTACAGTATTTTAGAACTTACTGTAGTACAGCAAATGCTGCAATACATTAGTATTGAGATCAGACAGGCAGTCCAGAAATGCCTTTTCATTCTCTACAAGGGATGTGCTGGCATTCAGGCACTTCTCCTGCAAAAGACAAATATCACGTGCACAGTACAGGATATAGAACAGCATAAAGCATTGTTAGCATTGTTAATCACTGTATCAGTGGGAGTAAACCACTCAGACTTACAATTTACAGCATTACCAATGTTATAGGAAATTATAAAAAATAACTAAAATGTTGATTTTTGTCAACAATAAATATGATTATTATGTTAATTAAAAGCAATTTAATTAAGAAGAAAGACATCAATGCTGAAATACTTCAGAAATACTTTTTATAATACCAATAAAAGTCACAAGAATGATTTATAATATGGGGTAATATTATGGATGGAACTATAAACAACTATCATCACATGTGTTTGTTATTTTTAAGAGAAGGTTTAGTCTTTATTTTAATAATAGTATTAATACTACTAATAATATTACGATCCAAAAAGTTTGTCTCAAAACTTGCTAAATCTCTTGAAGATGCTTATTGATAAAACTATTTTTAAAATGTCAGAAACATAAATTAACTGTTTAAGAGCATTACTCTCTGTGGTGTTAATGTACAGTACATTGGCCCATCATAGACAAAAGAAAACATTCTCAGACAGAATTCATTCAATTAAATGGTCAGAGCTTGTCCTAAGATTTTAGGAAACTTAAAAAATTTGAATACTTTAAATATGATAAAGTGCACCTGAGACAAATATGACAAAGAACTTAGATGTTCTCATTAAAAAGCAAAGATATATTCCAAGTTGTACCTCCAGGTTTGATTTTTCAGAATCATGTGGAGAGCAGGACAAGGAGGAGTTCCAGACAGCAGAACAGCCGTTATTGCTGTGGTGTTTCATGAGGGACGCCGTCAGTAGGACAATATTAACCACAAATCTCATTGGGCATCAGCTGTAGAAACTGTGAACCAATAATGAAAAAAAAACACAATTTTCAGAGTTACTAAAAACATACAGTGCAGTGAAGTTACCTGAAATCACAACTATTCTTTCTTACATAATATTTGATTTTCCTACTCACAGGAAAATGCAGAAAGAAACTAGCTGTTTTATACCAATAAGATGAACAAAATTCAGACTTTATTTAAGTTATGGAAAATTACAATACATTCACAAGCTGGTGGCAGAAAAGTATGACTTTGTCACTCTTACTTCTTTCTCACTAGACTGAACATTGCTATTCAGTAAGTGCTGTTATGAAATACAGACTTGGTCAAGTGCAAAATACATTAGTGTTTCCTTGGCATTAAATTACTGAATGTGAAGAAACAGACTACTTCAGCATCAAAATGGAAATAGTGAAAGGACATTTAAGCTTGTGCTACATGCTATATTTAACAATGTTTACAACAGACCACGCTGGAAATAACTGCAGTTATATTTAATGCTGTTGGCAACAGAGCACATCTAATTTCTGAGTAGAGCTTACACAAACACGCTTAGACAAGGTAAAGAAATTAAAGAACTCATTTGGATGTGTATTACAGATTACAAGAAAAACTAAAAATATATATATATGGAACTGGCATTATAACACCTTTTATTTAGGTAGATTTTATTTAGGAATCTAGCAAAGACGTCCAGACCTTGCTGCACAGGTCAAAAGCATATAATTTGGTATTGCTAAACAATATTTATATATACATGTTTATTTCTTTTTAAACAAACCTCTAAAACAGGAACAAAAAGCAAAAATCCTGAGGTTTCACAAACTGATTCTACTGTTAAATGGATTTCAAAATGAGTAAGAATTAGTTCCTTAAAGTAAAGATTCCTAAGAAGACTGAAACCCTAGCCTTACATGAATACTCCTCATGGACTCATTGTCATATGTACAAAAGTACACAAAGTCTTTTTATTATATACTTTGTAAAAGGGTGTGGTTATATATCCTTATGTTGATTACGTCAGATATTCCTATTTATTTTTCCACTTCAAGGCTGCTGCTATGGAATACTCATTGAATAGTCACCCTATTTTAAGACAGAGTGACATCTGATTCGCCACCACAGAAAGTTCAGAAGTAGTCAGTCAAATATGCACCATCATTGTGAGCACACAGCTTAAACTAGACTTCAGGTGGCAAACTCCATGCCACTGTATATATAGCCAACTCAATGTAAAACTATGTTTAAAACAGTAGTCAACTACAGGTAGTTACCTCAGTGACATATTGTAGTGCAATGTCACCTGTAAATCTCTCCTGTAGAAATGAATGGTCAAATACTGGAAAAATACAGTATGTGACATGAACTGGTGACTGGATTGAGCTTTTTCCTCAGAGGTACCAAACACCTACAAATGTATTTACTGTATGTCTCTTTTTACTTGCATTGACTACTGGTACTTACTCTAAATGTATAATCATGGTACATTATTTTCCTACAGTAGTAAAATCTGAGTAATTTTCTCTTATACTCCAGCAAATTAAGCAGTATTGAATCCGCAAAGGTTGACCATTTTCTTAATTGCAAATACACTCATCACATTCAGAAATCAAGAGTTACACATTATCATGGGCAGTGCATTTTGTCCAACAATTGTACATCAACATGAACTGCCTTGAGGGAATTTCTCATCTCTTAATTTTTTCTCACATAAAAAGCAAATAAGAAAGAAATTAAAATACAACAGTCATTTTCTTTCTACAGTGTCTTTCAAGTCTTGCAAAAGTGTTCTGGCCCTTCCTGAAATGACAGAGTGATGTTTTAAATGTCATATTACATTCAAAACCTGCTTGCTCAAAATGATTATTACTGTAAGTCTATGATAAACTACAGTAAATGTTAGAAAAAAAGAAAGGGAAAATAATAAAATACATTGACGGCATAAGTTTTCAGAGGTGCGAATTCAATATTTGGTGGAATAACTTTTGTCAGTAATTACAGTTGAAAGACTTTTTGGGTAAAGTCTGTACAAACTGTGCATATTGGCTTGTTGCAGGTTTTGCCAACTCAGCAGTTTTTCTGTAGGTCTCTCAAGGTTCTGGGATATTGCTAATAGATATTATATTTTAATTATTAATAGCTATTTTATATATATATATACAGTGCAGTCCAGAAGAATTTGGACAGTGACACCAGTTTTGTTGTTTTGACTCTGTATTCCAGTACATTGGATTTAAAATGAAACAATGACTATGAGATTAAAGTGCAGAATGTCAGCTTTAATTTGTTGGTATTTACGTCTATATTGGGTGAACCATATAGGAATCACAGTCCTTTTTATACATAGTCTTCCCATTTTAGGGAACCAAAAGTAACTGGACAATTGGCTGCTCAGTTGTTTCTTGGCCAGCTGTGTGTTGTTGTATCATTAGTTCATGCACAGGAGAGCTAACAAAAGGTCTAGGGTTGATTCTAGATGTGTCATTTGCATCTGGAGTCTGTTGCTGTTGTTTCTCAACACAAGGACCGACCAAAGAAGTGTTAATGCCACTAAAGCAGGCCATCGTGAGGCTGAAAAATAACAATAAATCAATCAGAGACACAGCCAAAACATTAGGTGAGTCAAAATCAACTGTTTGGTACATTGTTAAGAAGCAAGAACACACTGGTGAGTTTAGCAATAGCAAACGACCTGGTAGATTATGGAAGAAAAACCCCTTTTTCAACTGTTGAACAGATCAGGAACACTCTCCAGGATGTAGGCATAGAGGTGTCAAAGACTACCATAAAAAGAAGAATACACCAGCATAATTTCAGAGGGCTCACCACAAGATGCAAACAACTGGTAAAAGGCCACAGAAAGGCCAGGTTACAGTTAGCTAAAAAGTACATAAAAAAGCCTCTAGAGTTCTGGGAAAAAAAGCCTTATGGACAGATTAGATGAAGATTAACCTGTACCAGAGTGATGGAAAGATAAAAATGGAACTGCTCATGATCCAAAGCATACCAACGCATCTGTGAAACATGGTGAAGGTAGTGTCATGGTTTGGGCATGTATGGCTGCCAGTGGAACTGGCTCACTTGACCTTATTGATGATGTAACTGCAGACAGCAGCAGCAGGACGAATTCTGAAGTGTACAGAAGCATCTTATCTGCTCAGATCCAATCAAATGCTTCAAAAGTCATTGGAAGGCGCTTCACCTTGCAACAGGACAATGACCCCAAACATAGTGTTAAAGCAGCTATGGAGCTTTTCAGGGTAAAAAAGTGGAATGTTTTTGACTGGCCAAGTCAATCGCCCTACCTGAATTCCATTGAGCATGCAATCCCCTTCCTGAAAACAAGACTGAAAGTAAAAAGCCCCCGAAACAAGCAGGAACTGAAAATGGTTGAATTACAGACCTGGCAGAGCATCACAAAGAAAGTCACCCAACATCTGGGGATATTTGTGGGTTGCAGACATCAAGCGGTCATCAATTGCAAAGGATTTGAAAACATGCCAAATTTGATTTAAGATTATATTAATGTGCCCAATTATTTGTGGTCCCATGAAATGGGAGGACTATGTATAAAAAGGGCTTTGATTCCTATATGGTTCACCCAATATAGACGTAAACACCCTTGAATTAAAGCTGACATTCTGCACTTTAACCTCATAGTAATTGTTTTATTTAAATCCAATGTTCTGGAGCACAGAGCCAAAACAGCAAAAATTGTGTCACTGTCTAAATACTTATGGACTGCACTGTATATTAGACTTATATTTCTGCTTCACCCAGGAGCTAGACAACCATCCTGTATTTACTGCATTTGTAGCAAAACTAAACGTATGATGTAACTGCAGACAGCAGCAGCAGGATGCAACTTATCAAAGCAGCAACTTGTCAAAGTATGATCTTAGCCCGATGGCAAGAAAATCCAAGATGATGGGAGAGTACGCTTGGCTGAGGCTCTTATCCAACTTCACAGATATTGAAAGTACAAGAATCCATTTCTGCCTGTTCTGTCATTGAAGAGACGTTCTCCTGTGTCATGTCAGAGTTTCTGAAATGTCATCGTGGGAACAAATGATGCGTGAGAGGGCAGTGAGTCCAGACAAATGGATATTCTGGTCTGGGCCATACACCCTAGAATGTTGTGGGGAATGAGCAGCTACCCTCATTCAATTGACCATTTGCTGGAAGACAATTGGTCAGGTGACAATTTAAAAAACAGGAAGTACTAGCTTCCCACTGTTGGTTGGAAGGTCAAAAGACAGACACTCTGTGCGCTCCATTCATCAAAAGAAGAAGAAGGACTGACCGCGGGAGTGTGGAACAAAGGAGTTTGAGCTTTGAGACTTTGTAAGTTTGTGGAGAGTCTCTGGGAGAGAGACTGAGTGTTTTGAAGCCAGTAAACAGCTTAGCTGCGCGGTTGTGATAGTTAGGGACTTAAAGAAGTCTAGCCAGGAGCTCAAAAAGGAGCTAGGGTTTTGTTTGATTCGCTTTGTTTTGGTGTTTGTCTTTTATTTTATTTAGCAGTGTAGGAGATAAAAAATTGTACTATTTTGAATCTGCATTTGTGCCTCTGTTTTCCTTGGCCTGTCTGCTTAAAAGATCATGTGATAACATGCCCAGCAGGGTGTCAAAAGTGGCTCAAGCTATTTCCTACAAATATATATACTTTACAGTAAGCATATGTAAAATGTAAAATGGCACTGCAATAAATGCACTGGCTAGCAGTTCTATTAAAATATTTTAACTTACTATCCCTCTATCATTTGTTTCTAATAGTTTATTGAAGAAGCCACCTAACCACAATAGTTTTTGAATTACATATACATTATTACAAATCCCCATTCCCATGTAAAGGGTTCTGTAAATTCCAAAGCATATAGTTAACTTTTTATTCTTCTGTGGTTGCTTTAGTTTCTTGCACACAAATTGCAACATCCTGTATAACTTCCCATTTGCTTAGTGTTTGGAACATTTGACAGTTAGAGGCCCTTTTTAGTTTCAGTGCAACTGTACTCTT